GCTGAATAGCAGGAACAGACAAACTGATTCAATTAATATTTGAGTTACACACAGCAGGAAATTGGGTTTTCCCACAAAGGGCTGAAATACTTGTTTTCCAAGAGTGAAGCACAAAGACTGTGCTTTGCGGTGATGTAACATGGGTAAAATATAAACTAGCGATGTGTATTTGACACATTATCCCCCTACTCAAGTCCCATCTCTTTGTACAACAACAAACTGAAACATTATAACAAAGTGGTTGCACAATTATCCCCCACACGGCTGCTAGGCGATTCGGAGAAAAGGATCAGTTCTCTATGAGAGGCGAACACTGGGAGATTTAAAACCAAAAACCTTTCGTAAAAACAAGAACCGGCGGTGTTTGTTATTGTAGACAAAGTGGGCCGCAGTAATGATAAGTCATTAAGTTTATCGCCACAACCAACGGAAAAGCACGCAAGTCACACATTACTCAAAGCGTGATTTGCCTCTGGTGTGAAGAGGCCCCTGACTTCGCAGCTCCCCTCAGGTCTCTCTGTTGACACTGTTATGGGAGATTATGGCGACCATTTGTCAGACTGCTGCTGAAATTACCACCACATGAGGTGTGAGGTCCATCAAGGTAATTGGCATATGGTCCCACATACAGATCAGATACATGCTAGAGGAGATTCAGGCATGGCCAATTCACAGGGGAAGTGAGGAGACGATCTGTCAGCACTTAAAATCAAACAGGAAATCTCAGACTTAGGGAATAAATCCTTCTTCATTTGATATTTGAATGATTTGTTGCAGATCAGCATTTGTCACACATGAAGCACATTTTACACTTTGTCAGCCCGCCATAAACATTGTCATCTGTCAGTATTGTGAATCAGATATTAGAACTTAAAAGAAACTAGAAATCACCACTTCACGCTTATACCCAGAACAGTCAAGTTGCAGGAATGTGATCACAATCTCCCCTTGTGCTCATATGGAGTTTTTTTGCACTTTATGATGTCAAAGTGAGGCTGACCTTTGACCTTGTGGCCATAAAATGTAATCAGTATATCCTATTAGACATTTAAAATTCTAATAATTAATGTGTTAACTCTTGAGTTAGGCCAAAAATATATTTTGTGAGCTCATAGTGAACTTGACCTTTAACCTTAACCATCAAAGCCTAATCAGTTGTTTAGTTTAATTCATATGAGAGAATTCTTAGTTTTTGCTTGTTGGCAAATCTGGAAAAATGTGATCTCTTTGCTTCAGCAAGGTTTGAGTGACATTGGGATCAGTTGTGAGGTTGTCCTGAGTTCCTTTATTACAGTAAGAGTGTATATTTCCTAACAAAGAGTCCTTTAAAGTTGTTATAAACTTTGATTGTTGCATTTAGAAATAAATACATCAGAATAAAATGTGTATAATGCATAATTTGATATGACATTTCCAGGCTTTAACAGAAATAGGCAATATGAAAGCAGTAGCAGCAGTGATAAATGTTGTGTCAGTTATTTTTGGCTCATAAGCTTCTATAAAAATAAATATTTCTCCAGCTTCAAAATATCTGAAATTGCCAAAATATAAAAAGGAAAAAACATGCCCAGGAAACTGTAACTCTGAGGGACTGAACCAGGGGAATGCATTATGACCGGAAGTGGGGCAAAATAACTCCACAAGCACCAGCACACACACACCACTACACGCAGCAGCAGCAGCAGCAGCAGCCTCCCCCACATATCCACAAACCTGCATTCTGGCAAAGACATTTTCCATGTGTTAATCTTTCTACACAGAGACATAGCAAGAAGATGCCACTGAATGCATCGTTTCGATCACTCAGAGGTGGGGCCAACTGCTGAAGGGATTAGTCCACTGAGCAGAATCGAATCATGAGCGCAAGTGGAAGATATCTTGGAAGGGAGCCAAAGTGAGGCAGTGAGGGGCATTCTGCTCATAACTGGGGGAGCGACCTCATTTTCCGAATAAAAGACAGTTTACATAACACCTCTGTCCCCATGACAGGGAGCACTGGGCAGCTGTTGCCAGGCCTGTGGCTTTGAATCCGCTACCCTGAAAAAAAAAAAACTCTCTCTCAGCACTGTAGCCTCAAGCCTCCTCTGTGTATTTCCAGTATTAACATGTTGTAACGAAAAGAGGTCTTAAATTTAAATTGATGCATAAACACTTCAGTCACCTCGACTGTTTAATCGCCCAACTTTAGTCTCCCAGAACAAATGGAGAGGGTAGAGAAAACGTTAGATGGATCCACCATTATCTAAATCCAAGACTCTTTCATCTGCAAGTCTTTTGTAGAGCTGCAGTGGTTTTAAAGCAAAATCTGGATGGAGGTTTAATGGAGACAGGAAATAAGGAAAAGCAAATATACAGCTGCCCACACTACTATTTAAAAATAATGAAGGTGTTATTCTTTACTTTCTTTTTGTGGACTAATATAAAAAGACAAAACCCAAAAATGCATTAGCCATTTTCTTAAAACTTTCTGACTTGTCTATAACAAAGTAAATCTTACACAGCTCAGAAGGTGGATGTTTGATCCCCAGCACCTTCAGTCTACATTCTGAAGTGTCCTTGAACAACATGCCGAACCCCAAATTCCCCCTGATGGCTGTGCCAGCACTCTATGAATAGACAGAAAAGGCGCTGCGTATAAAAGCTGTGAATGCATTGGTGAATGCGACTTGAACAGAAAGTTCTTTGAGAGGTCAATAAGACTGGAAAAGCACTATATAAATAGACTGTTTTTATTATCTATCTTTTATATATTATTTGGGTATAAACAAGTGGATGATGGAATTTGCACAAGTTATATGTCATCCTGTGTCTGTCTGAACACATCTAGACTCAGTGATAAAAGTCACAGCACAAAAGAGGACCATAAAACATGCGGAGGTGAAGCAGAGACCGTACATGCCATCAGAATGCGATTCTCCACGCTGGACCTGGACGACAAACTTTAGCATTGCTCTGTGAAGCAGGAGCCTCTGTTTTCATTGGCAAAGATGCTCTGGACAGGACAAACTAGTGGCCGTGACGCATTCATCCTCGAATGCATTCCAGTGCAGGCAGATACCAGAAACTCCACGGGCACACAAACGATCACCGCACTTTGTGAGACAGAGCGTAATAAGAAAATATTGTTTGGAAAGTTACACGAGTGTTGGCTAATAGCTGCGTTGAATAACTCTTGCCATTAAAACTCATGTTTCTCTTGCAAGATGTGGGACACATCTGTTATTTGGGTCTTCAGCTGGTTTAGGCTCAGCCTGATCCTCTGTGATAAAGGCGTGCAGTGACAGGTGACTGGGCAGTGCGTGTAAGCGATGTAGCACAAATGGAAGGTGAATTTATGGAGAGAAAATCCTAAGAGAGACCTGAATAACAGAGATGGTGTTGAACTGTGTAGGTGTGGAGGCTGTTTGGGGACTTTGCTGCTTTTTGACTTACTGTTGGCAGTTTAACGAACAGCTGAAATATAAACCAGAAGACGGCTTAGAGTGATTTTGAGGTCCACCCCTGAATGCTTACATTAACAGCCAGATTGATTTAACAGTCCAAGGAGTTCTGTTTAATAGGGTTTAGTTTTATACAACAATGTTCTAGCCTTTTTTTTTTTTACAATGGCACTCTGAAGATGAATACAGCACACTGTTTTGAAAATTCCGTCATATGGAAAACATAATAAACTGATTAGATTCAGTATTACTGGATGTACACCTGCTCCAGTTCTTGGTATCCATATCATTTGATCAATGGTCACATCAACATCTCCAGCATTACATAAAGGAAAAAGGAAGGCAAACATTACATGTTGAATGATATACTACGGCCCAATATTTCCCGTCGGAGTTGTCAGTGGATGATCTAACTCGCACACAACGGAGTTTGGAGCTGTCCAGAAGATATTTCATCAGTACACTGGTCTTTTACAGACCCCCCGAGACCAGTCATCATATGTCATAAAGAAAGTCAAAGCATTTTAATATCACATCTGCTCCTCATTACCATTCCATGCAAAAGAAACCCAGGGCTGGGGTTGGACTGTTGCACCTCACCCAGAGAAAGGGAGAGAAGAAACAGTAAAGAGGCAAAGGAGAGATACAGAGCATGGAGCTGTATAACACCACCGCAGTTTAATAGCCCATTCCTTCAACACCACAGAATATCACTTCATGAACACAATCTTTGCATCTGTCATACCAACCAGCCTTATGCTTTTACATACATTTTTACCCAGATCTCATGTTAAGTAAACTGACTGCGATTATTTGAATCCTAAAATTCTCTTGGTGCTCTCCGAGATGAGTTTCAGGAGATGGCAACAGCTGGGAGCCCATTAGTCACACATTAGTGTGCTGTTGCCTCCATGCTCGAGCTCAAGGGGATTTATTTACCATGGTGCCTCACAAAATAAGAAACTGAAAATTGAATCACTGGAAAACTGGAAGGCAGTGAAATGCAACTGTAACCTTGCGGATGAATGTAATAACTTTCAGCTGCTTGTCAGAAAAAAATGGCTCTCATAGCATTTGTTCATGGTTTTCTGATTCTTTGTGAACTCACACAACTAACACCGGCACCGAGACATCACCTTTGACTCCTGCAAGTTTCCTTATCACGGTTATAGCAGATAATGTAAAGCAGTGTAATGCTGCAGCAGTTAACATTCACACAAGCGCACGTATACACACTCACTCACACACATGACTAGAGAGGACAGAGGCCAGCCTGTTTAACAAGTAGGTCAGACCAGAGAGAGAGGCAGAGAGAGAGAGAGAGAGGCAAAGAGAGAGGCATTGGTTGAAACAAGTTCAACTTTTAGTGCCATCATCGGCTTGTCTGGATCAAATGAAAAGAACAAAGAAGTCTCAAGCCACATAATTAACTGCCATGCAAAATATAACATTATAATTAAACAATGCAAAATGAATGGATACCCACCAATAAGGATTTCTATGATATTATTAGCTAATAGTGAAGCCTAGATTATGTCATATGAGTGTTCCCAGTCTCACCTGAGGGCAGTCTTTGATGTAATGGCCCTTGTTGAAGCACAGGTGGCACAAGTAGTTGGGTGGGGGTCTTTTGTTGGGTTTCCGTGGCTCCGAGGAAAGGGAGAGGTCTGAGAAATGGTCCGTCAGGGAGTTGAGTCCGTCCACTATGTTGTTCAGGGAGCCATAGGGTGACACATTCTTGTACACGTTGTTGTTTAAGGCCTATAAAAAGAGAATAATATCAGACAACGTCTTGTCAAAAAACAATCCTGGGACGCCTGCACATTGGATTCACGTAAAATTCCCAACTGTCAAAGTATTTATGCCAAATACATGGTACCATATCTCATATTGCTGAAATTAATCATCAATTTCCTTTACATGCACTATGTCGTTTTTTCTGTTGTTCAAAGAAAAGTAGAAGAAACTAAAAAAGCAAGATCCTTCAAGATCATTTCTCTCATTAAATTCAGAACATCTGGCGAGAGGCCCAGCTGTGCTCATGAGCTGGAAAAGTACTGAGCATGTCCACAGAGAAAGACGGGACTTCACAGAGGATGACTCATTGTAAACAAGATGGGAGGCATGTTCCCTCGTCAGCCTGCGGAGCATCAGCAATGTCACCATGCGCTGTTGGCGGTAAACTAGCCGTGGTCAGTGTTTGTAGTCTGCTCGGAGCCACAGAACACAGCGTCGCATGCATGCCACAGGGCCCAGTGGATTCATGAAAGATGCCCGCTGAATATTAATAACAGGGAGAGCAATGCCTGCACTTTCCCTGCTCAGTCATGTCTCGCTCTTTCTGTTGAAATACAATCCAGAAACATACACACAGGGATTGACCTCAGGGTGAAATGATGCCGATATTAGACAGGTTGATAGTTTAACAAGTCTCACTAGTCCTCTGCCTTCACATTTGGGATTTTAACTTCAAAACTTGCAAATAAAAACATCATTGAGTGCGTGAAGTCCCCCAAATAAAGGCTTCCTCATCACGGCTGGTCACGCCTGATTGACGTGACGTTTAATGCACGGCCCAGGAACCTTGGCAACCTGTCCGGCACAGAGAGCCAAAGCTTTATCTGCAGGCTACGAGATTGTCTTGCTAACCAGCTCCAGCTTCAAGACTCATGTTCATTTATTACATGTGGTCATCGTAAATCAACCGTTACGGCTCTACGGCGTCTCAAGTTTTCCATCTGCCATGAGTTTTATCTTCTGTGTATTTCTGTGTAATGAATTAGCGCTCACTTTGTGGAAATGTGCATGTTTGCTAAAATGAAGTCTTTGGTGCAGACTGTGAAATTATTTTAACAAATACAAAACAGGAAACTGTGTGTCAGGTTTATGTTTATGTCTCACATTTCTTGTTTGGCCCTGAGATCTGTGACTGTCAGGCCAGAGGAAACAGAGTTCACATACATCTGCTAATGGTGGGTTGAGACTGTTTATTTTGTGTGTCTGTGAGTGTATGTGACTGACTGACTGATTGATTGCCCAGGAGGTTGTGTGTTCATGTAAATATTTTCCAACACAAAGAGGACTAAACTGGTATCATTACCAGTCACTGTGTGTCTAAGTGAGGGGGACAACTGCAGCAGATTTGCGTGTGACTGCTTTCACGGGTCACTGGATGAGGTGTTGCACAGCAGGGGGCAAACACACACTGATACGTTGACCCAGAGCTGTGATATCTGGAGGAAACTCGAAGACGGGGACTGATTTGAAGCAGAATAAATGTCACATCAAAGCATTTGTCTTCTCAGCCAATAGAGCTGTATAAAGATGGAGAAAAGCATTTAACGTTTACACAAAGCTGTCTGCACATGAGATGGTGCACACTTATCGAGTTCCCGATCAACAAATTCATTAATTTGTCATTTTTCACACAAAGTAGACCGCTGTGTGATCCTTTGCTGCAAAAAAACAACCCCATTTTGCATTACTCATCTCATAATCAAAACCTTGCTGTTGTTTATTTGACTTGGCTTAGCCAGTATGGCGAGTTGCAAAATGCCCCACCACCCTCACCCCCGCCACCCCGACCCCCCACCCCTCAAACTGTTTCCAGACGGTACGTGTGTTCCCTCAGCAGATTGAATGGCATTACACAATTGCATGTAATGTATAATGTATACACCCAGTTTCCAGAGGACTGTTTCAAGTTAAATCACTTCAAAGGGCCTCTGTGGTCACCCAACATAATAATAGACACCGGAGCTAGATGGTGAATACACCATCCATCCCACCATTAGTTATTTCAATGCATAGCATCCCAGTGACATAGATCTAAGGAGCTCAGCTTCAGTATACTGTATACTGTATACTTTTTACACTGCCATTTATCCAGCAGTATGTGATTATTCCTTGAGTGTGCATGTCCGTGGGTGCAGCTGAGGGGCGTGGTGATGGGGGTTCCTTCCTCCACGGTGAGGTCTGCCATATCAGGTTTGCAACCCGCAGACATTATCGGCATGTTTGTCCCTAAAATTACGCAGAGCTATAAAAATAGACAATATGTAAACAAGGATTGACTTTGTTTGCACAATCTGGTCTATTTGCAGGAGCCAGAGACAGCAGACCTCAGCAAGAGGCTGCTGCAGCAGTGGTCCGTCCGAGCTCTCCAGATAGGAGACGCCTGCAGGGGAATCTGTTTCCATCCGTCTGCCTGCACCTCTGATCAGAGGCGTGTCTGATTATTTTGTTGCACAGCAGTTTCCCTTTTAATTTGAACCATGCTTACCAGGATGCTGCAAACAGACTTAATCATCATCATTAATGACTTGTTTGATGTCTGTTGATTGCAAATGCTTATTTGACATTGACATGTACAGTATCATAGCATCATTATTCTTTCCACGAATAATGATTTTGCACTGTCCACCTCTTGGTACTGACTATTTGTCAGAGTGCTTTTCTTGTTCTGTGTTTTAAGCTACTGCCTAAATTTCCTTCTATCTATCTAACTATCTATCTATGCCTATCTCTCTATCTATCTATCTAACTAACTTTCTTTATATCTACCTACATATCTATCTATCTATCTAACTGTCTTACTATCTATCTAACTAACTATCCTATTTATCTATTGATCGAAATATATATGGATTGTTGGTATTTTTGTGATTTTTAAGTATTTATCAATGTGCACTAAGAGTCTTACCTTCTTTGTTAAACTTGAATAAGCTCAGCCAATGTTTTATATAATGTTACAATATTCCTAGAGTATACCTGAGGTTCTTACAAATTAGCATATAATAAAACTTTATATAACGGTACTATTATTATGCCCTGACAACATCCTGTGGAATCTATGGAATCATATCCCTGAAGTAATTCTTTCGCCTAAGAATGTCTATAAATGATCTATATCCCTCTGGTGTTGTATAAAGTATGATGATAGGGTTAATGTTCTGAGTTATAGTGTCAACACCACTGAAGAGGTTCAAACCCTAAAAAGCTGATTTAATAGGACTATTTGAACATATTGTCCATATTAGAGATATCATGGCGGTCATCCTCTAGAATAACTGTACACGCTAAAACACTCGCTTCACTCACTGTCCATTCGGTCAAACTAACTCTTGAGGTAAACTTCAAGCCTGATCCCAGACGTGCGTGTGTTCACCTCGTTCCGCTGCAGCTGAAAGAAGTTGTTCAGATAGTTGGAGTTGAGGGACGAGCTCAGCTCCGCCGCTCCGGGGGTCTTGCTGAAGTTGAGATCCGGGTGGGAAGAGTTGGGCTCGGGTCGGAAGGCGTCGAAGGCGCTGGTCTGGTGGGGGTCTTGCAGGGAGAGGTAGACCCAGTTGAGGAGCTGCGCGGGCTGGTACACGGAGGCACTCGTGTCTATGGCAGACAACAAGCTCATCTTTCAGCTCAGATGGGCCAAACCGGATCTTTTTCCACCGCTGGTTCTTGGGACTGGACTCAGCTGCTTGTTCGCCGCCTTCTTCGCTCCCGCAGCCCCGGCAGATGGCAACAGCTCCTCGGTTCTCGCCTCGAAGGGCCCTGTCCTGTCCTCCTCACGCCGGGAGCCTCGTCCCAGTCAGACGTTTCTCTGCAGTCATTGCGCGAACATGTCAGTATGAAAAGTTTCCCCCATGGTCCTCTGTCCGCCTTTAATGCAGCGGACCAGCTCAGCCTCTTTGGATATGGAATGAGCACGGCTCTACGTCACTGAGCCCGCCGGCCAATCAGCGTGCGGTGCGCATGAATATTAATTCAGAGCCAAATGGTTCAAATCATCTGCTCAGATCCACAACAACTAATATTCCTCCACATCAGCTGCTCAAACAACTATGTCACATCATATCTATCACTTGTAACATTGATCATTGATGGGCTCATAGCGGTTTTCTCTAAAAGTGTTTGATTGGTGAGGGGTGTTATAGATCAGTGTTAGATCAGCCACAGAGGTGTTAACATATCCAGGTCCATCTGTTCAGTGGTTCACATATAGCTGCTTAAACTCAGGTTAATATCACTAACCAACCTCCAGAGTCATATGGTGTTTCTTACCTACTTTCTTAAAACTTGTATCATCGATGGGTTCACATTTCTTTTGTCTTAAAGGGATAGTTCACCCGAAAAGGAGATTTCACTCATTATCTACTCACCACTATTACAATGGAGGGGTGGGTGAAGTGTTGGATGCCGCAAAACACTTATGGAGTTTCATTGGTAAACAGCATTGCAGCCAAATCCAGTTCAATTGAAGTAAATGGCGACACCATCTTCAAATGTAAAAAACAACGGAAAAAGCATGAAATGCCTCCATACTGCTCCTGTGATGTCATACAAGTGTCCGTAAGACGTTTACGTTCGCGCTCAAGCTCTCACCTCTGTGCTACTGCCCAAAGGGCACGCAACGACATCATCGATTCTCTCGATGGCTACACTTGCGAGTATCGCAAGATGAGATCAGAGAATGTCGAGGCCTACAAATACTTGGATGACACCACAGGAGCACTATTGAGGCATTTTGTGTGTTTCTTTCTGTTGTTTTTGTTTTGAATTTTGCTGCAACCCAAAGGGGTTTTGTGGATTCAAACACTTAATAATGAGTGAATTTTCATTTTTTGGGGGAACTATCCCTTAAAGATGTTAATGATGTGTGTGTTGATGCATACGTGTGTGAAGTTGCACTATAGGTGCAGTTGAGGCCCATCTGTTTAGTGGTTCACACGTAGCTACTTGAACTCCAGATTCTAAATGTGTTCATATGCCTGACAAGTT